CGGTGGTGGGACGGGGACGGTGCTGGTGGCGGTGAGCCCCCGGTGGCGGGCAGGGGTCGGTCGGGCTCTGCGTCCCGGTGGTGCCTTTCCCCCGCCGGTAAATAACTGCCGCCTTCAAGGCGAGCTGCCCCTCGGCTGGTAAACAAGAGCCGGGAAAAAGTAGCCTGGCATGTCGGGGCAGATCCAGATCAAAGGGACGGGGAGGCGGCTCTGTTTGTTTGTGGTGTTTACCGGGGGTCTTTGAAGAAAGGTCCTAAAATCCACTTTTCGGGCAGGGTTGCTGTTTGTCAGCCGCTTTCTCTTGCGGGGCGCTAAACGGGTCTGGAATGAGCGCAGTCTTGACAGGGCAAGGGGGAATGTAGCATTTGCCCACTGGAGAGTGCGTGATAAATGTTTTGCCGATGACTGTACCAGTAATGTATCGGGCTGCAGCCACCCACGGATTCCCTCGCACCACTACGCTAAGAGCATGATTTCCCAGTAATTAAAGAGCTCTCCGAGGACCGAGGCATGGATAGGGACATGTTTATCACGGTGTTAGCCAATTATACACTGTATGGATTATTATTTTTTTCAAGTGTAGTCCCGGAGACACTTTACACAAAGGGTACTCTGATGCGGTCAAGACGTCTTCTTTTTATTTGGTATTATTTATAACTTTACACCTTGGTGTCGTATTTCTAATCAAATACCTTTCTTGTAAGGATGAAAAATCCTCAAAGTATAGAATATACATATATATAAACATTATTTGAAGTGTTAGCATTCAAATAGCCAGCTGAGGATGTGGCTTTTAGAGTTAGCATTTCAAAGAGAAGCGGGTGAAACAGATAGGCAGTCACCCTGCTCAAGCAGTGAATTCCAGAGCAGGAGATCTGCAGATTAGGCACAGCGCCTGTCATTTCTGCGCCTCACACTGTCTTGTAGGCATAAAAGATGAAAAGTTTGTTGTACGCTGAAACATCATATCGATCTTAATGCTTGCTCTGCATGAACAACTTGTGCCATGGCTTTATCTCCTTGTCCTTGATGATGTTGATTAGTGCGCCGATTGTAAAAGACAGGTTTTCATTAGTGTGAATGTTTATAACTTCCTCTGTAGGTAGCTTGCAGCTGGCTGAACAGTATTGCCTTTTATTTGCAAAGCGTCACGCGACTTGCATGCCATCATCTTTCTTACTTGGTAACAAATCATGTGGATTATGGTCTGTTTTGTTTTTGCAGACGAGATGTGAAATGGAGAAATACCTGGCACCTCAGCTTCCGCCCGTTCCTGTCATCCCTGAACATAAGAAGTACAGAAGAGACAGTGCCTCAGTCGTAGACCAGTTTTTCACTGACAGCGAAGGGTTGCCTTACAGCATCAACATGAACGTCTTCCTTCCCGACATTAGCCACCTGAGAACTGGCCTGTACAAATCTCAGCGACCCTGTGTAACCCACATCAAGACAGAGCCGGTCACCATCTTCAGTCACCAGAGCGAAACTACTGCCCCTGCCCCTGCCCCTGCCCCAACTCAGGCCCTCCCTGAATTTACCAGCATCTTCAGCTCCCACCAAACTCCTGATGTGAACAACATTTTCATCAAGCAGGAGCTTCCTACTCCAGATGTTCATCTTTCCGTCACACCCCAGCAAGGCCAGTTATATCAGCTCTTGAGCTCACCGGATTTAGATATGCCCAACACCACTACTCAGGCAGCTGTGATGGACTCCCTTAACAATGTCTCCATGCCATCAGCCATGGCGGGCCTTAACACGCTCTCCTCGGCTGTTCCACAGACTGCAATGAAACAGTTCCAGGGCATTCCCCCCTGCACCTACTCCATGCCAAACCAGTTTCTGCAGCAGCAGGCCACTTACTTCCCTCCTTCACCCCCAAGCTCAGAGCCTGGAAGCCCAGATAGACAAGCAGAGATGCTACAGAATTTAACTCCTCCTCCGTCATACGCTGCAACTATAGCTTCCAAGCTGGCAATTCACAATCCGAATTTACCAGCGACTCTGCCCATAACCCCCCAGAACATCCAACCAGTCAGATACAACAGGAGAAGTAACCCAGACTTGGAGAAAAGACGTATCCACTACTGTGACTATCCCGGTAAGCGATCCGTGCCAGAAAATCCCAATTTTTTGCAATAGAAAAAGTGTGAATAATTGTGGATGAGGTATAAGCGGTTTTCTTTAGCTGTAGTCTACATCTAGGAAGAACCAAATAATTTCTTGTTAAAGAAGAATTTATCTTCTTTACTGTCTTATTTTGTGTGGCACGCTTTCACATTCTTTATGTCATTTGTAATTCTCTTAAACGCCTAAGCTCATTTTACCGTGTTACAAAACTTGTACCCCATAGAGGAAAAAACAAAAATAAATGATGGCCTTCTCTAATGTAAATCAGTGGGATGGTGCAGTCCTACTCCATTTTTCCAGTACCCGTGATGGAGCAGAGCCTCAGTTTGTCCAATGCAGTAGAGCTCAGTTTGAATCCACTGTTGCTGAAAGAATCATTTCAGCTCCGGGTAGCCAAGGCCACAGCCGTATCTTCCCTGTTATAAACAGGGTTCAGCTGCGTGCATAAATCCATTAAAACTACCTCTGAAAACTGCCCACAGATGTATTCCCTTCCAGCCTCTCCTTCTACGCTGAAGGCGAAGAGGGACCTGACTATAAACTGTGCCTCCACATAGTACGTGATCACAGACACAAGATGCTCACACCCATCCGAGCACAGAAATTGCTGCTCGTGGTTGATCTGCCCCTTTACCAACATCACTCTCAGCAGTGTTTCACCCATTTGGTGTGCCATGTGATAAATGCTCAATGGAAGAATTATGCTGAGCCCTGGATAACAATGACACTGAGTCTGGCTTGTTCAAATCCTTTAGGAAATTTTTAAAAAATAAAGTCCCCTTCTGAATTGTTAACTTATGTAGCAGCTGTTACGGTGCATAGACTGTAGCATCCATTGGTCTATACTACATTACAAGGTAGTAAGTCTACCAGAAATGTAAACACTTTTTTTCTTTTCTATGTAAAGCAACATATCCCTAGGAGCTTTCTATATCAGATTTTACTAAATGTTTCTAGATAGTAGCTCAGCACTGAGTGAGGGAGTTCAAACGTAATGTGGAGCGTTCCTTTTCTCCCTGCTGAAATGCCTCTCTGCTTTTTTGTTTTGTTCTGTTTTAGGCTGTACAAAAGTTTATACAAAGTCTTCTCACTTAAAAGCGCACCTGAGAACTCACACGGGTATGTACTCACTCTCTCACCGTCTCTCGTTCATTCATGGCTTACACATTTTCTGAGAAAGCAAGCATGTTTGATCTGCCATCTTCACCTGGTTTTCTGTGTAGTAGTGTGTATTCAAGCTGGCAGTTCAGTTAAGAAAAATTTAAGGTTTGGTCAATGAGGAAAAAAATTGCTTTAATTCTTAATGCAGTTTTGTTAAAGTTTTTATAATACAGATCTCAAAATAGCTAAGAATAAATCAGATGGAAACTTTCCTTTTCAATCTAAAATCCCATAAAGCGCTAAAGAAAGAAGGGACTTTTTTCCCTTCAATAATGAATTAAGCATGGTAAACATGTAGTTTTCAAGATTTATCTAAATAGAATTTTCTGGTTCGGGCTTTCTCTTTGACCTGTTAGAATTACTTAATCTTAGAATTTTTCAGAAATTTCATGAAAACTCCCCAGGATACCTCTATTTGCTTGGTCCTTAGCATTGTGTGCTTCTTTTGTTTTTTAAGACAAATGGTTCTATGTATTTGTTTTTTAAAAAGAAGACACAATTTCAGTTTTTTGTCAGTGAAAGACATTAAAATGGAGGAAGTGAAAAGTGTCAGTGCGTCACACTTGTTTTTTGTACCTCGATCAAATTCTGCCTGCAGCTACAGAGGCAGTCCCCGTTCATGGGCCGACGTGGAGCAGAGACAGAGCTGGGGACAGCGTTGCTTTTGCGTGGGCGCAGGAGCCATGCGTGCAGAGGACGGTGGTTGGGAGGTGGAACCACGTAGGTGCTCTTTGTGAGCGTCCACCTGCTGAGACAAGGGGAAGGAAGAGAGAGGGAGACGGAAAGGAAAACGTAGCTCACCAACAGCACACCTGAAACTATTTAGGACAGTTCTTTGGTGAGATCTTAGTACAGAACTGGTTGCACTAAATCAGTGAAGAGCACATGGCTGATTTTGTAAAGAAATCAAATGAGAAGGCTGTGACTCCTGTTTTTAAAACTGAGTATGAACACCTTTTACGCGTGGACCTCCATTCAGAGCAAAACACGAGTCACAGTTCAAGCAACTCGCTTATTGAAGCAGGCTGTCAGCATTACGGCTGTGCCGTTCTAGTAATGGGGTTTCACCTAAGTTTAAACCAAAAAGTCAAAACAAAACTTAGCATGAGCTATGATCTAACGAAATGTTTCACTATCTCTATGGAAACAAGGCCGCCTGTTCAGCAGCTATTTTGAATGGATTGTTGGATTATCGTAAAGAAATTGAGTATCTCCAGACTAAATGTTACTATGGAAATTTTGTTTTGATAAATGAGTTATCTGTGTTTCAGTCACGGTAAAAAATTAAAAGCAACCGTACAAAGATTATTGCTTTGCATTAGTAATAGACTAAACAAGAACACTTTTAAAAATATTTTTGATGCATATAATCACTTATTAGCAGTAAGCTTAGTAAGAAAGGAATATTTTCATGAGGCTATAAAGCTGAATAATGTCAGAGAGTATAATCCCATTGCTCTTTAATAAATAATCTGTAAATTTAAAAGCATGCGATTTCCACTTACGCACTTTAGCCAGCAACTAAATACCGGTTTTAAGTATGTCGCTTGCTATTATACGATAACTAGGAAGAGAGATAAAAGCGAAGCTTTAGTCTAAAAATGAACATTACATACTCAGCATTTGAAACATACACTTTTCTGGTTTTAAATTAATTTATATCTTTTTTTTGTATCTTGAATAGTAATAACTTTAGGGTTTATAAAGTTAATACTTGTGTGCATAGAAATACATACCACATTGCTAATACATATCCCTTAAGGTCACTAATGTTTATTGTTGCCTTCACTTTTTTACCTATAGATATTTGACCTTAGAAATGTGGATAAATGTGCAGAGGTCAGAGGAGCTGATGTATTCATGGAAACAAGAATGTTGTTTTAGATAAAAATCTAGTGAACTTAAGCAGGTCTGTAATACAAAGGGTCTTCTGGGGAGGTGAATGAAGGGATAAACTGTCTAAAGAGTGCATTACATGCAAGAATGTGAGTCCGTATCCTGTTACCTGCATTATTTCAGAGTTTGCATTAGTTTAACTCTCCTGAATATTCACTTAATACTTGAAGATTTCCAGCACCGATTCTGATCTCTGCCCTAACACATGGTTGAAATGCATGTTACGAGCAAGATCTCTGACTTACCCAGTACCGTAAATTGATTAAATAAATGTTAAAGTAAATGGGTGCAAACTCAGGGAAACCTGTGAAGTTGCTCAGCTCCCCCAGAAGTGCAGGGGAATCTTGCTACTGATCCCCAAGGAGAAGGACTCTATGCCGAGGGCTAAATTTGGGTGTGTGCCTCTGTGCATCCCATCCCCCAGGACTATGAATTCATACAGCACTATTAAGCTTTGTTTTTTTTTTTTTATTTTTTAAATGTTTTTTTTTATAAAAAAGGACTTTTGTGAAGCTTTTACCTTCAAAGTCTAAAGCAAGCGTCACGTAATCCATTTTAATAAAGTTGTGTGTGATATTCTTTCAAATCCCTTCAGGGATAGCAGACCTGTTTATCTGGCTAAACCCGTTCTTTAGTAATCATGGACCACTAGAGTTGTTTTCTCCTTATTCTTAGTTTCTTAACAATACCTTTTAAAATTGGCTGCAGTCTCTCTCTCATCCCAACCAGTCCCCACCCTTCTCAGCAATCTGTCATCTTAAAATAAAAGAGCCTGCAGCAAAGTTTGTCTGCCATTAAAAGTCAAGACAGACCTTATGGTTTTCCTTTTGTATTGGAAAATCTCAGCCTTTTCACAGTATTTATTTAGCAGCCTTTCTCTTCTGAAAGGCTTTCACTGGGTTTAGTAGATGTTCTTTGAGAACAAACCTAAGGGAAGTGTTATTTTTCATAGGTGGAATGTAGGCTGCGGTCTTTTTTCCAGTTCAGATATGAACACACTGTCAGGCTTTATAAATTGCATTTAAATAAAACTATAGGAAATGAGCAAGAGGAAAATCCCTTACATTTTTCTTTTTAGGTGTTCCCAAGGTGTTTACCTTACACCAAGTCAGGTGGTATAAGCTGCTATAGTTATTTTGATTTAATGTAATTACACTGGACTCTTGCTGTTGATTAGGGACCCAGTGTTCACGTACAGAGCTAAGCCAGGTTAATGTACTGGTCGCTGAAGCACACGCACGTTTTTCTTTCTCTAGGTAATGCTTTAGTGTTTGTCAATTACGCAGTAAATTTTAGTTATTGGTAAACTAATGTCCTGGTTTAAGGAAGAACAAAACCAATAACCCCAAAAGGGAACAAAGATTCGAATGTTGCGAAGATACAGGATCTATCCCTGTGGAGTTCTGGAGCAGGTGTCTGGTACATTTTAATACCTTAAAGCACTTGAGTATGGTATCTTAACTTTGTATTAGTTGTTCCTGAAACAGGTAAAATGGTATTCAGTATGCTAAAGTACGTGTTGGAACAACTCTCAAAACAGATAGGATTTTTTGACCTTTTAAAGCAGGGGTTTGCTTTTAAAATAATTTTACCTGTTAGTCATGGAACAAGTTTCGTTTCATAACCGGCATTGTGCAACTATGGTATATAATGGGGGAGGGGGTCATGCGTTTATTGTGGGCTGTCCAGCAGTAAAACCACCTTAAGGCTCTGGCATAACAGCTATAAGTCCGACTTGAAAAACATGCCAAATGTCAGTGAAAAGCAGTTACTTGTGTGTTGTAGATAAACCTTTTTTGTTTCCTTTTCTGGCATCCGAGTATATACATATATATCAAGGAATCCTTTAGAAACAGAGATCCTATAACTTAACCTGTTAGATTTCATTATATGTTAAAAGATTTGGACTGTGGAAGTTGAGCCTTTGATGTGCAGGCACCTGGAATACGCTACCTGTACCCTACCTGTAATGCCGTAGAAGAGCTGCTGGCTCCAGGGTGGTGGGTTTTTTTTATTATTTCTGTGAACAGCTGCGCACTTCAGAGTTGTGTATGGTTTTAAGAGGAAAATCTGTCATTGTTTTGAACACATCAAGGCACGCACATTGAGGACATTTTCCAGCTGCATGTTGGTTTTCCGTATACAGAGTCTTTGTACAGGCATGTTCTCTGGTCACATGGTGGGCTTGCCATTAATAGTTTCTAGCATTAACTGCAGAAGTATTTCATCTCTATCTATAGATCTAGTTTGTATTTGGTGATGGGAAGTGGAAGCCGAGATAACTCAAGAGAAATGGCATTTCTGTAAATGAGATGCATGCAAAATACTTCCACCATCCCTAGTTATTTCAAATGTTTATGTAGGCATGGGACAGCTGCTGACTTGTGCGGTTCCTCAAGGTGTTAAACGTTTTATTTTATTTTAGATGTCTGCCTCAATAGGTCCAGAATTAGGCTCTGATGGTACATCAGAATTAGAACCAGTTGTGTGCAATAGTCTTCAGCAGTCCACAGGACTTTGCGATGCGAGTTTACCATAGCTGTATATGGGTGCTTGTTAAAGGTGGTACTACATAGAATTACCCGGGAGTTCAGGATGCCCTTTTTTGAGCAGGGAAGACAAATGGAAGATGGACTTTTGCTGGAAATAAAAGCATCTTGCAAAAACATGTATTGACTCAAATCATGCTGAGACTGACACGAGGGGTTTCACTCATGGCGTACAAGTGGGGAATGGAGTCCCCAAAAGACTCTGCCTTGCTCATGGTTGCAGCCTCCTGGGTACATAGCAAACCTCATCCTGGAAAAATCTTTGCATCATGAAAATACCTATTAAGTAATATTTCTGTGCAGATTCTGCTTCTTTAACCTGTTAGATGAGCCAGTTGCACATATTATACTTTAAGGAGATGTCAGGAAATACTGTCTTTGATAGAGACAATAAGGAAAAATGGAGGAGAGTTAAATAAAACTGTTGACAAAGTGCATTAAAGTGCAGCGTTGCTAGATACTGCTGGAGAATATGTTGGTATCTTTTATTTATGAATTCTGCTAAATCCATTA